CACACAGACTGTGAGCCGAGAAACGGAACATCGAAGTAAACCTTCTTCGCTTTTGTAACACTCAAGGCCGTAAAATGTTTGGGTTTGGGGATGCTGGGATTTTTATCAATCTGCTGGCAGATTGATCTTCTCCATACATTCTTTAGCCTACCTGTCAAAGTTCTTCAATTAGTAAGATTTTCTTTCCGTTTCATCTGGTGAACGTAGTGGCATCCGTCACAGCTTCCTAAGGGGAGGCTAGTGGCCTGAGCACTTTCATAACCTTTTGGGTTATGTTACATTCCGGTAGCACTAATCCTAACATTCGTGGCCTTTTGCTGTCGTCCAGCCTAGGTAGACAAGCAATATGAGCGTCATTCCATTCTTTATTATGTTTCGTAGAAGCTCAAGACTGTTGTTCGCTGTTTCATCCCAACTCTACTGAGAACCACCATCGTTTTGCTGCTACTGCTTTGAAAGTGAGTTGTCTCACGTAAGTTCTGGAAATGTTTCTGGGGAGATCAGCGGTAAAATCTTTGCAAATACTAAACAAACGAAGATGAGCTCCTGACGTTCGAACCAACCATGTTTCTTCGAAGTGTCTGCGGAACTCCTTCAGCTCTTGGGTCAACTCAGCCTTCGCCTTCTCTTGCTCTTCTCGCCTGGTCTCAAATTCACGCTTGGAATGATCCAGCTCCCTTTCCAGTGACTTCACTTGATTATGGGCAAACATGAGTCGCTCGTTAATTGTGACACGCTCATTTTCGCAAGCCGATAAAAGAGCTTGTTTTTCAGCCTCGTTGGCCAGAATAGCTTCATCTCGCTCTCGTTGAATGTTCAAAATCTGTGATAAGGATATATGAAAATAGGCGTATGTCATCTGGACAGCATTCCAATGAATCAAAAGCACACATAAACAGCGTTTCGGTCAGTGTGAAGAACAAAGTGTGTGTGCTTAGATATGTAAATTAGTTATGGTAGAAATGCAAAGATATGTCCGGTAGTGTAAATGAACCAATCTTGTTTCAGTTTTCAAGTTCAAGCTCAGTTGGGACCGGAACGAGAACAAAGCTTTTAGGACCGGTTCTTTTGAACAATGAACGATGACCAATAATTCATCACGGACAAAATGACAATTGCTTGACTAGTACCGTATAATGGCTGGGGTGAAAACTCCAATAACACACATATGTTCGTTGTCTGGTTAATCTACTGTCGAGTAAATGCGCCGCTGAATTTCAGTAGTGTCAACGGAGAACCGACTACAAATAACAAGACCACCTGGGCGCTGTAGTACTCCGAAAGAAAATTGATAAGAAAAGTTCACCTTCATGTACCGCCTCCTTAGGTCTGTGTGACATATAAATCCGGTTGCATGATCATTATATACCAAAGTTGCACAGCTTAGGAAACGTAGGGATGGTGGTCAAGATCAGCATCCAATCCTTTTTTGGAAATGTTCAAGGTGTGGGAGAAGACAGCTGTGTTTGAGACAGAGTTCCAGGATTGCCAAACACGAAGAGAAAAATAATTCCGTCGGCATTCTAGACAGCTAAATAAGGTTCAAGCAGTCACCTCCGAGGATTATGTTCTAGCTGACTTTCAGCAAGTGAGCGTCATTCGGTATCGTCGGCACGTAGCTTAGAGGTAACGAGCTTGTCTCGTAATCTTACAGCGCGGATTCGAATGTGCATAGGGGTGGGCGTCCTCACGGTATGCTCAGCACGGGTGCGACTGCTGGTGGCTGCGCAACAGCAAAACGCCGTTACGGCATACAGCTGACACATTAGTATTATTTGCAATAATATGAGATCGCCGCGAAGCCTTCGGTAGCGTCCGTTGAAAACTCTCAGTGGCTTCTTCCTTTGCTTGTAGGACAAATTACGTACATCCCTGGCGTTCTTTGTGATCCTGCATTGTGGCGTCTTTAGCATCTCTCGGTCGCGCTTCAGATTAGATTGCGTATTAAATGGGATAGCGTGGTATAAACGTCAATCTTGGATTTCGACTGTCCAAGTCGGAACGGACGAGCTCTTTCAACCGTTGGTTCCCACGCGCAGAGTAGCCATGACGATTCGTATTGGAACGGCTTGTGAACTTAGCCAGCAGACGTGAACTGGTAGCTGTGAAGATAGACGGAACGCGCAAACACCGCACAACTGTTCCTAGACCCACAGAAAGAAGGCTGACCAATAGTGAGAGTGCATTTACTAACTGAACCAAGGCAACCGTGCTTTCTACACCTTCAGATTTATTGTTCACTAAAACAGTACTAAACAGTACTAAACTATAAGTAAAGGCGTACGTTGGTTGCCACAGGAGTTGCAATGCGACGGTCCTATCTCAGAGCACAGCTGGGGCAGGGTCGATGCTGTTAAGTCATTGGACATATCCCAGTTTTTTAGTGTGCTCGGTAGCTAAGGCACTGACATGAACATAGGTCAAGAGGCAGACTGCTGACTTCAGGAGAGTCCGGGAGATAAGATGGTGGGACTGCAACGAGTTCAGTGGAAATTGTGCGGGATATGATGTCCGCGTTCGCCCTGATGCCAACTCCGTTGTGATCTGCGCAGATAAGTGGACCCTTGGTGGCAGTTTCTGTAGGAGGAGCACCGCTTTCAACAGAGTAGCTTAGATCTACGCATAGCGACCGTATTGTTTGGGTCCGATAGTATACTGATGCTAGTGAACCGTGAGTTGACAGGGCTGTGCCAGCCCTGCACGTAAGAATTGCGCATCCTTGGGAAAATAATTAGATCAAAATTCCCGAATAGCCTCCGCGGTTGGCTGACGTGCTGGTTGCTTCGATTCACAGCTGACTCAGACTGTTCGGAACACAAGGTCGCTTTGTATCAGCACAACAAGCTCGCGTTCCTAGGAAGCAGTTTGCAATATGTGTGACTCAAGCCAATGCAAAACGAAACGATGGAATAATAGGGATAAAAAAAGCCAAAGCTTGACAAGTCCCACTGGATGGTTGCGGGACTAACGATAGTACAAGAAAAGTACACAAAAGTGAAATCAATATAAAAAGTAACCACTCCTAGTTAAACAAATAAATAAAATAGTATATTCCTCCGTGATTCGAGGTGCAGTCCAACTATGTGGTTTCAAATGTTATGGGCGTAGCTTCTAGTGAACGGAAGTCATAACCTTCGGAGGCTAGCCACAGTCAGCTGCTAAGGTAGTAACCAGTGTGGTAGTGGAAGTTAGGTCGTGCTATACCCCAGTTAACTTGCAAATTGTGTGGCCTCGTCGACTTCTCCCATGGCTTAGTGGCTTAGACTGATAGCTAGTTGGCGTCTGCCACTAGTGGTCATGGGTTCGACCCCCGTAAGGGGACTGAGGGAATGCGCACCACTGACAAGCTTCAATAGGGCGAAAAGCGTCTGGTGCTTTTCCGGACGTTGTGCTATGTAGCTTGTGAGCAGCTAGGAAGAAAACCTTACAAGTATAATTAAAATAATCATCCTACTCATTAGTAATATAAAATATAGCCCCTCCTAGTTTCAACTGCTTTGGAGGTAGCGTCTAGCGAGGGGTATTCATTACCTTCGGAGGCTAGCCACTGTCATCTGCTAAGATAGTAACCTGCGTGGCAGTAGAAGATAGGTCGTGCTCTATCCCAGTTCTCTTGTAAATTGTCTAGCCCAGCCGACCTACCCGATGGCTCAGTGGCTTAAGTGCTGGTTAGTTGGCATCTACCGTTAGTGGTCGTGGGTTCGATCTCCAGTAGGAGACCAAGAGAAGGCGTACCACTGATGAGCCCCAGTAGGGCGAAACCCGTTTCATGCTTTTCAGGACTAGGCTGTGCTATGTAGCTTGGGAGCAGCTGGGACGAAAACATTACAGTAACACTTAAAATATCCCTCCTACAAATTAGACAAAATGAATCTATGGACTCACCACATTATCAACGTCCATGCACAGGTATATTCGTATACAACGAATTTTGGTGGTTTGTGAGCATAATGATTGCCTGCGTCATGTCGTCACTCAATGAACGGAAATCAGACCAAGTATTGCAGCTAGCGTAAAGCAACGATCAGTCAGTTTATGAATTGGCTATCTTAGGCGTATTAATGAAAATATTCGTAAGAGCGATCCACGGTTGACAACTAAGAAATTAATTCCGGCGGCACTTCAGCCCACTGTATTACCTGGACAGTTTCATCCGTTGACCCTACAATTCTGTGTTACGGCTAAGTTCAAGATCCACTTTGGCTTACCCAGCCGGGTCTTACCTTGAGCTATGACAAAAACATTGATTCCTCTGTGTTTCGCTCGGTTTTCTTTTTATGAGAGCTGTAACATCTTTAGATTCCCACGGTGTTTGGTGGTTTTTTCACTATTCGTAGACTGATGCATATATGATTGGCGGCATCCGGTTCCGGATGTGCATGTCACTGTGGCCAGCCACAGGAAGTCTGTGCCTACACAGCGACCATGGGTGGCTTGCGCTGCACCACACACAACTCCATCCACACCCCATATCCAGTGTAAATCCGAAGGAAAAAGACCGGGAGGCAAGCGGATGGGAGGCACGTTTCATCAGCGGAGCAGGCCCACACTCATTCACAGGCAAACACAAGCACATTGTATTGGGGAATCAATCGCACACAAGACGGTAGCTGATCCTTAGTCCGCTCCACACTGAGTGCATGGAACCACTGTTCGAGCCTAGTACGGCCACAAGGAGGGTGCATCCGGTCCCCTCCAGCAACGACCAACTGTTTCCGAGAGCCAGCATAGACGAGTTAATGGTTAATAGACAGGTAGACCCCTTGTCAACATGCGCATCGAGCGCAGCCACACTAGGGATATCAAGCAACTGCCAATCACTTGAAACGACGATATCAGATAAGATTAATCCAATAATGCATACAGCTACGGTGACATAAGTCTTCACTAAATGAGCATATGAAAGAAAATGGTTGTCCCCAAATCCGTAAAAGGTTCAAGACGTCGGAAAATATATTTTAAGAAAATGCCACGTACGCGCAAATATTATCGAGGTTAATTACAGTTAGCTTAAGCGACGTGTTCAAGTTTATAGAAGATAGTTCAGGTAGACATTAATACGAGATAAAAAGCATTCGAACAATATAACAAACCCACCAGTTGAAATACAGTTATCAAGCATGCAAGCAAACGGTTAGTAAATCGAATGCAGCGTACATACAAACGCTACGCCGGTTCTGTCTGTATTCTCAGCTGGGCCATCGTTGTTTTGGTGGTGGTCCCGGAATGCTTCGCTCATGGTTCACTAGGATTACCTGACTAAGGCACTGGCGACCGCATGTGCTACAGCATCATGCGCTCGATGTCGATGTAGTACAACGAATCGGCGCCTGTCCCTTCCGCAATTGCCGCTACTTCTCTGCAGGCAAGAGGGCTTGCTCGTGCACTTCGGCAACTGCCTTCGTGGTCAGAGCGCGCCATGCTGCATCGGTCGTCACGCATTGGCCTTAACAAAAGGCTCGCCTTTTCTGCACATACTCTTCCCATCCCCGTTTCACCTAACCCACAACTTCCTCCAATCCAGGACATCACCTCCCATACGGTTGCCCACGAATGCAATCGTATCCCCGCGCGCAAAGCGCTCAACATCGGGGGCACGAACGTGCGCACACTACTGCACCGGGCTCGAATGAGCGCCGTGAGCGACACATTGCACTGGTAGCCAAGGAACTGGCGCGCCGCAACATCGATATTGCGGCGCTCAGGCAGACCCGACTCGCTGTGCAAGATAATAGCATAAATATGGTGCAAGCTATACGTATTACTTGGTGAGAAACTCCACCACAGCACCACGAGAACATGGGGCCCGATTTGCACTGTCCGGTCGCCTAAATGGTCAGCTGGTGGGTGAACCAACAG